TAGTTACTTTTACTTTTTCGTCCTTTCTTTCAGCTGAGCATCGAGGGTAAATGCGATTTACTTTGATAGGCCAACTCTGCAGCTCTGTCTTGAGATGTTCTCAGGATATAACAAATACGTGTACTTGTACAGTAGGCTACACGAAGAATCATTATTGCCATTATCATATTATTATTATATTTGTTGCACCCCTGCAAGGCAGATCTCAAATCATAACTTAGCCTAACAAAGTTCGTTCTCAAAGTGAAATTAAGTTGAGACAAACAGAATAAGTTTACATGACCAGACGTTGCACCAATTCATCTAATTCTAACATTCTAAAAATTTGGCAGAGGAGTTATGAAAACATAATCGACCTCGTGTCTTTTCAAAGGCCTATAACAGGTGCTCAGTGACGTAAGTTAGGGAAACCCCCGCCATGTGACCCCATCAACCAATCGAAAAAGGCATTCCCTCTGCGCAAAGAATATGCGCAGCTGAAATCTTTATTGACAACAAAAATGCCGTCGGAAGCACCTTTGGTTCCCAATCTAAGTGAGAAACCGCACCATTACATGTAAGTATAGGCTTTTGATGAATGAGATATAGCGTAGGAATGATACTTTATTTAATATCTTTTTGTGTTAATCTGTTTTGTTCTCTTTTCCCAGGTATCTGAAAGAATTTCGAACTCAGCAGTGTGATCTCTTTCTTCAACACAAATGTCAACAACATAGGCCTTTCACTTGTTTTCATTGGCATTTTCTAAACCAGAGAAGAAGGAGGCCTGTTCGAAAAAGGGATGGAACATTTTCATATAGCCCGGATATTTACTGCACCAAATATGATGAGAATACGGGGATCTGCCCAGATGGAGATGAGTGAGTTGGCATTTTTGTTCAATAGGAATCTCCCGCGTTAACCCAATTTGGCAATGAATTTGTTTTGCGTCATTTGGGAATTGTTCAGTAATTACTTATTTTTGATGGTAAAAACTATAGTTTTAAGGTTTATAAGCTGATTAGGATTGTGTAGCCTCATCGTTCGTCGTATGAAGGTCTAACTTTCCGTTGTTTTTGGTTCTGTGGATAGTGTGTGTGATGTAAACAAACATGGCAGCCATCTTCAATGTTGGCCCTGGTAGCTCTAGATTTTGTCGAACTCAAAATTGAACCAGGCCTTGATGATACGTCAGTACAATACAATTATGAGAGATTTCATGTATTTGTATCGTCACAAACATATTATTCGAAGGTAGATCTAGTTGAACCTAGATTCTAGAAGGCTGTGTTTTTTTAATGCCTTGTTCAGTGAAATTAGAACAGTGCTTTGTTTGGGTTCGGGTCGGGGCTGAGGCTTGACGAGGGGTTTGCACTGTGCCTGTGTGGTGATCCTGATGCGATGACAACAAAGAAATCCATATCGCCAAATTATAATTTGCTGCCAAGGAGTACAAATACTTTCAAATTTGATTGGGTTTTTATAAATATATGTATTCTACTGCATATTATAAAGCATTTTAAGTCTTTTCCGTGACCATCTGCTTGCATAGACTAAATCAAAACAAAATCAGCTGTAGGCTAAATATAGGTCAAGTTATTAGATGTCCTTGACCTGGAGCTGAACTTGACACGGGCCTATTGATAGTTTGCCTCCTGTTTATTCTTGGCTTCATGGCAAGCAGGTCTTTCTTTGTTCTTCAGTATGCTCCATATTCGTAGTTTATTTACTTATTATTACACACTTTTTGGCGTGGTGAATGTAGCTGACCATCCTTCATTACCCCTCATCTTCCCGTGCGTGACTATGAGGTCATCCTACTAAGTTAAGAAGCTGTTGTGAAAAATACAATACAGGGTCTAGTTCAGCAATATATTTATAGAGATGATGTAATGTCACGACTGTGCTGGTTCATGGTCAGAAGGTCCCGAACAGCAGACTCATTTAATAAATTTGCAAAATCCGTAAGGAATATGAGACTCAGTACTATAGAGGGAAGAGAGGGGTTGAATGGGAAACATTTTAATTTTATTGAATCATTTTTACACTGTAAAGATAAAGCAGTGTCAGTAAATAAATGAATTTTAATTTATTGTATCAATACAAACAATGAACAATGTAGCCATTTTATTGTTATAACTACTCTCTATCCCATACATTTGCTAGTTTAATTTACAGTTGTCTGTTCAAGCAAATTAGTTTATATTGTATTTGTTCATATCATGTACCTTTTCAATTTCCATTTTATTTTGATTTCTTGAAATAAGTCACCACCAATGAAGGAAAAAGTAGAACTTTGGATTGGTGTTTTTTTTACCCCAGTCACTCCACCTTTTTCACTTCTAATCTTTCTGATCCTTTACATCCTGTGTTTGAAATTATTCCATTCCCTCCACTTTTGTGTTAAGGCCATCTGATGGTGAAATTTTAAAATTCACATCTCTAGACTAAATATAACAACGATGATATATTTATATTAGTCAGACATCAAAGAATAAATTCAAGTAATTATTAATTATTCTAAGCACATTCTAGCAAACATCTGCCATATTGTAAAGGCAGCAGTTCTTTGCATGCAGTTCAGGAACAGTTATGAGCATGACATTGACGAATCAGCCCATTTACAATCTATTGAGCATATAAGAACATGCTAATGTCCCCCCCCCCTTTGGGAATGGCCTAAAGATGCGTCAGTCAGTGGCACGGCCAAGGGGGTTATGATTTTTTGCATAGTTGAAATTAGTTTGCTTGTATATTATGCATGTTTGCAAAATAAGAATAATTCTGATAAAGGTTGACATTGCAGTATACTTTGGGTCTTGTAACATAACAAGGAAGTGTAAGCCTTCTTCTCTGAAATCCATACCTAGTGTCTCTACTTAAAAACATGTTGGTTGTATTGTCTGAGCTATGATTTCTACCTTGTTTGAGAACTTATGTCTGTTGTGTTGAAATGCGGAGTAATTATTCAGTCTGGTTTTTTTGTTTAGTTCTACCATTTTTTTATTTTATTGAAATAGTTGGGTTGTTTTAAGCTTATGTTGTTGTTGTTGTTATCGATCCAGCAACAGCTGGGCTCTCGCCCTTCTGTCCAATGCCATGTAGTGATAAGTACAGGTCTGCTGCAGTTGCTGTAATGTTCCATAGAGTGTGTTGTCTATGATAGGTCTCGGAGGGAGAAGGGTATTTTAAGCTTATAAATGTTTTCCTGTTTTCAGATGCCCGTTCTTACACAGAACTGCTGGAGATACTGAAAGACGATACCACTTGAGGTATTACAAGACAGGCACCTGTGTATATGACACAGATTCCAAAGGGCATTGTTCTAAGAATGGTGCTCATTGTGCATTTGCTCATGGTGCCCATGACATGCGGCCTCCAGTATATGACTCCACGGAAATGCAGCCGTCTATAGAATTTTTGGATAAAGCCTCATCTTCTCCTAGTTCTGAAAAGGACAAAGTTCTTGCTGAGGATCCAAGATGGAATGGTGAGTGTTGCATGTAGCTTGTCCAGGATACGCTTCAGTTTTTTAATATAATAAATAATCAAACCTGCTTTGTGACACATCATAATGATAATAAAGTAAACTTTGTGAGAATCTACAGAAACCTGTTCAATTCGAGATGGATCCAGAATTGGAAACCCTCTATGTTTTGAGAAACTGAACCAGTCTCTGTGTCAAAATCGTTTTACAGTGTAACAGGTTCAGGATTTTAATTGTGGATAAACTTTGACAGACATGGTATGTCAAATCGTCAGTCAAAATGAAAAGGACAAATATGTTAACATGTATGTCCTTTTGCCAATCGACTTAACTTCCACAGTCTGATTATGTGGGATTGGATTATCATAATAGACACAGTATTATTAAATAGGTCTTTGCTTTGGTTGCTTCTTTGGGTTGCTTCATAGAGTTTGATCTAGTCGTCCATTATTGCGTCATATAACATTCCTCGCTGAAACGAAAGATCTGTTCTTGCAATGTCATTGGTCACTTACTGGCCCTCAGATTGACTGTTGGCCTTGATTTTCATCAATAGCACACCAATAGTTGAACCTGCTTTAATGACCACCTGTCCAAAGACAATTACGTATGTAAATGACCACTTCTCTCTTCCACCCTTGCTTTTTTGTTTTGTCGTCCTGTCTGAGATGACTTCTTTTGTCCTCAACGAGGGATGGTTGTCTTGGACATTTTAAATTTAAGTGGTATTTGTTTGTTCAGACCAAGCCTGAATAGGATAAAGTATCCCAGTTGAAGGAAAGCGATACTTGATAAAATAAACATAATCTCTCAGGAATTAAACTTTCATCTTCTGTTTGCAAAGTAGCAAAGGAAAGAGTCGAACCACTGCACCACATGAATGCCATTGATGAAGATTTTGTTACTTTTATGTTCTTTTGAATTTTGTTCAGCGCCCTTTACTTTTTACTTTTACAGATACCAACTTTGTATTGGCCAACTACAAGACAGAACCCTGCAAGCGCCCCCCACGGCTGTGCAGACAAGGTTATGCATGCCCTCAGTTTCACAATACAAGAGACAGAAGAAGAAGTCCCAAGCTTTACAAATATAGGTAATTTACTCTTCCGTTTTGTGTTTTTAATAACAATAAGAGGACCGCCTGTGTAAGATGACCACTTACTCCGACAATATGTGGTTATCTTGAACATGTTTGACTGTATAATATCAATATTATTTATTGCAAGGAAGCCAAATAGCAGTCGTTGAATGAATGTTAAAAACAGAAAAATCTTGGTGGAATAACTAAAGTGTACAGGGTTGCAAATGTAAGCGTTTAAAGTCCCAAGCCCTGACTTCAGTTTAGGCAGTTCTTTATGCCCGTCACATAACGGGGTTAGAAAGCTTTACTCCTGTTTGGTAAGCCTGAGTAATTATTTGATGGCAACAGGGACTAGCTAAGTAAGGACCTCTGATGCTCATGTTGCCATCTTTCATTTTTTTTGCTTTCACTAACTAATGTTTGTGCTTCTTCCTTGCCTGTGTTCAGTAGATCACTTTATTAAGCCATTGTTATTATTTCTGTGCTTCTGTTCAGGTCTACCCCTTGCCCAAATGTGAAACATGGTGACGAGTGGGGAGACCCCACCCATTGTGAAAGTGGAGACAACTGCTCCTACTGCCATACAAGAACGGAACAACAGTTTCATCCCGAGGTTTGCCCTTTATATATATTTATCTGTGTATGACAGGTTGTAGTGTTGATTTATTTTACCTGTTTGCTAGGTAGGCTGCTTTATATTTTGATGAATCAAATAATGGTGGTCTTCAGTAAATTTACACATGAAACAAAATGTTTGTTTTAATGATTCCCATTTTGCTTTTTTTTTTAATGAGTGAAAAATTATGAAGATCATAAAAAAAATTTTAAAGCCCTGTATACGTGAAATGTGTTAGGTGTTCACCAGTAATGCTTGCTTTTCAAAAGATTATTTTTGTGAATATTGATATCAGTTCACTGTGCCTGATGTTGAATATATTGGTCAAGGGTGTGTATTCTTTTTCAGATTTACAAATCGACCAAGTGTAATGACATGGTTCAGACCAAATTTTGTCCTCGGGGAGCTTTCTGTGCTTTTGCCCATGTGGAACGTAAGTATAGTATAAGAAAACAAATTACCCCAGTGATTGTACTATTTGATTTGATTTTTTTTTTGGGGGGTGGGGGGAGGTCCTTTTGTGAAGGTTACTGGAAAAAGGGTGATGAAATATGTAAAGGTCATCAAGTTTTTAGAATTGATACAGACTTCCTTTTGTTCCTCCACCAAGTAGATATTTTGTTTTATTACAGCATTGTTTTTATCTTGACTGAAATACATTTTAACCCTCGTCTTGCGGGGGTAGGGTTTATGTCGCCCGATAAGTCTATTTCGACACCTCGCATTTGTTCCGGTCCCGAGTCTGTCCGGCCCTAGCTTAGCGCACGCGCGCCGAGCATCATCTCCGTTCCATTCGGGTTCTGCGTCGGACCCGCATTCACGCAGCTCAAGTGTGTGTGCGTCAGTCTGCTTGAGTTTGTGTGCGTTTGTGGCCTACTTCCAGAACCGCCTGCGTTGGTTCATAACCGAGGCATACGTCTCTTTCAAAACACGCCTAGTTGGTAGCTCTAGATGTTTGTCCAATGAAATTAGAACAAATTGACCTACTTAGTTATGAGGAGCTCGAAAGGATAGTCCGGAAACAAGCCTTCCATTTTTCTAAACAAAATCTTTCAAATGAGCTTGATTTTGTATGAAATGATACTACTTTGTAAAAAATAAGCTTGTTTGATAGTTTTGAATACCATTGTGCAGGTAATAGACCTGCATGTTTGCCGACAATCGTCTGAAATCCGACAATCGTGACTCGACCCGCGAGCCGGCCGATGCTATCGCTAGGCCCACCTGTATAAGTAAATGTGCGAAGTGCGAGGCCTGGCCGACTGCCAGCGCCCCCTTTTTCTCCCGTCGGCTTTGTCGGCACTTTCGTTTTCATGCCGACTGCCAACGTCGGCGTTTCCGACATAATTGTCGGAACTTGAGTAGAAATGCGAATACGATAAAGGACGACGACCTAAATTGTCTACTTTCAGTTTCGTGCCCGAGCGGCCATTTTGAATTTCGTTTGTTGACTAATTCATTGTTCAGATCATGTGGATTCATTCAAGTCCGACTCACCTGTTCTAATAGAATCTAGATCTAGATTTATAGATCATTATAGACCTCAATGGGGGATTCATATTCCAATTCTATTTTGTCAAACTCTATCACATAGGTTATGCTGTAATATTAATGTTGGTAAAAAGCATTTCATCAGGTGCGTGATTTATTTATTTATTTAGAATCTAGACTCAGCTGAGTCCCTCTGTTCGGAATCCGATGCGGATTTCTAGATCTAGTTCAAGGCCTATTCCTATTCTCTTGTTCTACAAGATCTAGATCTAGATTTATTTATATTACTAGATCTATATGGAGGATTCATATTCCAATTCTATTGTGTTATTGTATCAAACCCTATTATAATATAGCAATGTAGATGTAGGCCATATTATGCTCCTTTTTAGTTTTGGAGTGGGTTTTTTTTTATTTTTTCATTTTGGACTTGTGCTGGCCTTTTTACACGAGGGTTCTTTTTTGGGTTAGGGTTAGGGTTAGGTCTCTTCTTTATTGTGTTTGTTGGGGTGGTCGCTCGTTACTCGGAAGTCCTTCCTTATGACACCCACAAAAGCTCTTATGTGGGGGGGGGGGGGGGTGCGCGCGCTAAATTTTCAGACAATCTGGTTGAGGCTCACATGCAGGTCTAAGGTAAAAACAATTTGAGTTGCAAACATTTTGAATTTGACCTATATTATCCCCTTTCGAACCCCAGATCATTCATAACAACAAGAGAATCTAAAAAGGTTATTCGAATGGGCGTAACTACTCATAATGTCTTATCAGCTTATGAGAGGGGGTTATTCATGTGTTCATAACACTTTATAAATAGAAAGATATAAAAGATAGAGTGTTATTTTTGTCATTGATTGACACACTCCCACAGTATTCATGGCGAAAACACACGTTTCCAGGCGCACTCGCTTTACACACTGAGTGACCCCGGCAGCCTACCCGGAAAGTCCGACGTAATCGATTGCTGATAAGATTCGCATCTCAGTACAGACGCAGGACAAGAGTTAATGTGCATGAGGGCTCATCTTTTTTGTAGTGGAAAACGTTCCTCTTTCTTTTTTGCTGGTACCCATGGCTTTGTACACAAAAGTGCCTTGAAAAGAATTGTGTTCATGATTTTTGTAACAGACACAATTTATTTATTTTTTTCTGTGAAGAAAATTTCTTGATTGAGTGTTTTCAAATAGACAATAGTAGAAAGTGAATACGGTGTAGTGTAGTACACTTACAGTACCAAAGGCTCCAATAGTGAAAAAAACCCTTGAGTACCGCACTAGAAGGCCGAAGCCATGGTAGAATTTTTTAAAGACTAAAAAAACCTACACAGCCCAAGAAACATGTTTGAAAATTCACAGAGGTTCTTCAACCATTCAGCTAGTGACTTTCTTTGGTATTTACTTCAGTGCAGTGGGTCCGTTCGTTATTTAATTAAATTTAGTGTGCCTGGTCGAGTCGGCGACTTAAGTCGCCAGGGCTGATGAATGTGTACTACGGCCTGGCAGCTAAAGCCGCCAACAGGACTGAAAGTGTGAACCAGTACAATTTTAATTTTGTTACTGAAGATCAAATGCCAATGAAAAGTGATTGATGCTATAATGTAATGAACATTTGATATTACTTAGTAGTGTAATGAACTATTTAACTTTATTTTGATTTAAATTAATCTGTTCAATGAACATTTTCTTTCAGAAGAGATAACTTCAGTCCGTGATGTGTTGTCGATAAGCAGTAACTCTTTAGCTGCTTTTGTCACAAACGTCCTGCCTCAGAATGATTCAGTCGGCAAGCTGGAGTCTATATCAGGGAAAGATGCCTTTCATTACAGAGAGGTAAGTTGTATTGTGGGCAATTTACTGAAACGGATGAATATATACAGTTTGCAGTTTAAAACTGTTTTAGGTTTTATTGCAGAATTGTGTTGGTTTATGTCACACTACAGGACTTGGCCACAAGACAGATATATGTTTATCAATTTGTCTATCACACAATGGTTTGACTTTTAGATCTGAACAAAGTCTAAAGTTCAGGTTCTGTAGTATAGGGGTTAGGTCTTCACTATTGCACCCAGACCGGAGGGCGATTCTTTTGTGGGGAAAATTTTTATTGATTATCTTAGTCTGTCTGCTGGAATGTTTTATCCCTCTCAACTTGGGTTGGTCCTGACAGGCAGGGTCAAAGCCCACCTCCGAAATGATCAATATTGTGTTTTTGGGGGCTCAAAAGACATAAATGTTAAAAAATAATCTGAAGCAATGAGTTATAAAGGAGATCTTGACCCCACTATTTGTATTTGTAAGCTCCTCAATTCTATGTCATAGCTTGACTGTTCTCTGATGTAAAAAAAATGTGATTTGTTATCATTCTGTTTCATATTTTTATTTCAGGTACATAATGGCAAATGTGACTCTAAACTACCAGACCCTATAGGAAAGGAAAGGGCGAATAGCACTCCAGTGCAGCCAAGTCTTATACAGGTATGAAGCGTAATGAATGTTTTGCTTTATTAAATCATTTAGGTCATCAGTGAGCATGTTACTGGCAGCTACACCATGATGGCCATGTCAAACCAGGAAAGTTTATGATTTTTGTTGTTGGTTTTTTTTTTCTCAAAATGTTCAGAACATGTCTTTGTGTACTGGTAGATATGTTTTGTCTCATAACAGAAAAGTTTGACATGAGAGTGCTACTGTTTGGCTTAAAGTTTAAGGTGATAAGCAAAAATGTTAGAATTTCCTTGGTTCTGAAATTGCTCTTGGTTTTGACACAATTTTTATCTAACACCTCTGTATGTCCCTGGAGTGCATATTAGTGTTATTTGTGTACGACGAGGTGGAATCAGGCGCTTGTCAATTTTTGGGCATGTGGAGTTACTGGTATCATCTGAAAGCTGATTTATTTGCCTTGTTTCTCATGAAATAAATATCAATTTATCTTGAATAGAACTCAAGATATTTGCGATTGAAAGAAATAAGGTCGCTTGTTTTCAGTGTTGAAATTAATGAGAAAATGGCCGCCAAAGTTTGATAACTGCAATAGCTAAAGAGCCTTTGAAAACTGGAAAGTGACATATTTTGTGCCTTTAATCAATGCTTTTCAGTAACTTTCACTTGGAAATGTGTTTTTATATGGACATAAAAGAGGTTAAGCCACAAAATAAAAATTCGGTTAAAAATTTCCCAACAAGAAAAATATCTGTTTCTCTGATTTCGTTATTTTGACAAGGGCCTGATTTCAACACACTGCCTCACATTTTGTTTATGAGAGACAATTATAAAAACAAAGTTCTCTCTCCAAGTCAAAGAAGACTAGTTATCCGGGTTGGCAAAGGTTTGTAAATATTCACAGCTTAAAATATATCCCAATGCAAAGGAAAGTACTATAGGATTAATTGTACTCAAATCATTACCAGTGGCTGCATTGCAGCATTCTGTTTTTCCTATTTTCTTTTCATCTATTTGGCTAGATTATCTCTGTTAAAGGAGAGGGTGTTTGTCTTACAAATTGTGTCTTTTAGAAGCTATGTCTTAAGTTAACTTGAGCAATTCCAGTAGAGATTTTGGTAAGCCTTATTCGCCAGTTGAGCATGTTAAACTTCTATCAAAATACTGTGAGTAATATATAAAGCAGTTTTTAGGTTAGACCATAGCAATGAATTGTTTCTTGTAACTTTAAAATTTGTAGACTTGTTTACACCATTTAATGATAAAATGGTAGAAGATTGTATAAAGAAAATGTTGACAGCATTGTGTATCTATACTACTGATGTCAGTTGTTTAAAGGGCTAAGATCATAAGTCTACTAAAACATGACTCGCACATACATTTTGTACACTGTTGTCTTGTAGTTGTCCCTGTACTTCGTTGTGATTACTTTTTTGTTATATTTGTCGTTTTTTTTTTTTTCTTTTCAGATGAATTTGTTAGCTAGCAATAATGGTAGCGCTTACCGCAATAGTCCTCTTCATGATCCTTTCATGAAGGCCAGATCTTGCAGCGTGAGTTCTGATTATGCCTTGTCTCCTTTGTACATGAGAGCGCCTGGATTTGAAAGAGATGAATATCAGGTATGAATGTTGAAAGTACGTTTTAAGCAAATATAACTGTGCCAATGAAAAATTGATTTTTCTCTTTAGCCCTTTTTTGTTTGGTATCTAAGAAAGAGTTTTCAATTCAAAGAATAATACGTTTTGAATTTAAATAAAGAAGTTATGGGGGTTGTAAAGGTCCGCAAAATATGGATGCCCCACATATAGGAAAATACTCCTAAAGGTGAATCAAGTTACCGCAGATTCTGTCAGAAAATTGACGACATCTCGGTAATAAATTGGAATGTTAAAAAGAGACTTGGCTACCTAATGTGTTTTGGGGTGGGGAAAACATTTTTGCAGTCAGATTTACTCACCATTTCGTAATTTCGTTATGTTTAAAATTTTGGAGTTCATATTACGATTTTGCGAAAAAAGTTTGTCGGGATGAGTGCATTTTATTTATAGCATCGTATCACAACATGGAATCTTTAAGAATATGTTAGCAGTGTGACAAAATAATGTCAAAGTTTTCTTTGATGACTTTAGACCTTGCCAGCCGTAAAATATAATTCAGTTCAATCGGCATACTGAACAATTAAAAACCTTTTTGTCATGTTGAGAGAGACGCAAACGCCCCAAGGGGAGATAAGCTCGCCTCGGAATACCCCCATTATGATATTGCAGGGGAACAGAGAAAAACAACTTGATGCACGCACCCACCGTTGCCCTCTTTCAAGTGAACAATGAATGGGCTTAGAATAATCATGCGGGGCTTTGTGGGTCACATACATTTGCCGAGGGAATGATGGGAAAATGGCCGGTCTCTGCGCAAAGTCACTTTGGACAGAGGGGGTAGTGGTGCTTTTATGATAAATTCTAAACAACTACTTTACACAGAACGTTCAAATTTGAGGAAACTATAGAGGAAAGATAGATCTCTTACCATCTCGACGTCTAATGTCAAGCTCCGTATAGTTTTCGGTATACCCGATACGAAAATGTTTCTGACACCAAAAATATTGGTTAATTTATGTGTACACACTTCAACGTCCACATATCATTAGTTTGCCAAGTTTCCTTCACATTTGTCCAGAAATAGTGCAGAACGAGTTTGAGAAAGTTAGTCACTTACGTTCTGGCCTGGTCCCAAAATTCACCCGGGAACGGGGACCAAAATTTCGCCGCTCGTGGAAGCCTGAATGGCATTGCTAGCAAATATGTTTTAGGCATGACTTTTTAAAGTGTAAAAATACTAAATGGGACTCGGATATGAGAAAGTGAACATTATGGCCGGGAGTACATTTCTAGGCAAGTACGTTATATCAAGCTCTTACGGTATATGCGATGTAAATATGCTCTTTAGAGGTTTATCTCTCTGCTTATATTGAAATTCTTGAAATGTAAAATGGTGCTAGGCTATTTTGGCTGTTATTCAGGGTTCTTGTTTGTTATATTGACTTGTCTTTTTCAATGTTTTGTGGGGCCAATAAGTTTTTAAAATTTGCCGAAACATCCGTACCTTGTAGTTGTTTTTCTCTTAACCTTGTTTGTCTTTGTTTCTTGGTACAGCTGAAGCTGCGTCAGCAGTTAATGGCTATCGAGAAAGATCCCACTCTGGACTCTGTGGAGAAGGCCAAGCGTAAGGAGAATCTGATCCTGGTGCACCAGTCGGGATTGTACAGCCATTTGGCCAACTCTATGGGCCTCACACAGGGCACTACCTCAATGTCACCACTGGCCCCGGCCTTCTACCCGCCAGGAGATTGCGTGGAGTCTGTCATAGGTGAATTTTTTATCTATTTTTTTTTTAATGAGAGTGTAGTGAAAAGAAATTCATGTAGAAGTCATCTTTGTTTAAAGGAAAAGGTTTTTTTAAAGGGGTTTTGGTTTGTTTCAGGAGAAATATGATGAAAAGTAATTAAAATATGAGGTTTGTGGGAATAAATGGGAATATTATATCTTGTAATAGCTTCACATCATATCTTGCAGAACATATTATGTCTACTAATGATTATTAGAATGCTTGTATAAGCATTTTTTCTCCCTGAAAATCTCATCGTAAATTTTTAAGTTATTAGCTATACATGGAAACACATTTACGAAAAGACACAAGTTGATGAAATTAATTCGGCCTGTTCGCCACACACCTCTTACTGGACTGCATGTACTCAAAATCTCTCTTTAGCTGTCCCTTTCCTCCTTCCATATCCATCCCGGTTGTCCTCATATGTGGTTGTCTTTCCCTTTACCTTTAGGCAAAGCTCTTGATGATGTGAACCTAGAGGATCTGGACATTGGGAGCCTGGAGCGGGAACTGGACAAGGACATGGACACCAACTCTGTCAGTAGCTCCCTCAGTGCTGGACTGTCCACCTCGGGCTGCTTCAGCAACAACTCCTCCATTCCCATTGGGATCCCGCCCAGTGCCATCACCCAGCGTGGCAGTATTAGCAGTCTCTCGCAGTCTCCCCCGTCACCCTTTGGGAGCTTCCCGCACAGCATGCAGCCCTTGCTCTTACACAAACAAGATTCTAATGATCACGTAAGTTCAATGGGGGTATTTTGGAAGGGGCATTTATTAATAATTCTTTTTATTTTTTTGTTGCACTCTCTACAATTAGCTTTTCATCACTTTCATTGGTTTAATTAGCAGCGTGCATGGTCAGGGGAAATACACAGTTTGTGTTGGAGGTTCTGCAAAGCTTATGTTATGTTATGTTATGTGAAGCAATAGGATAATGCACACATTATGTTCTATGTCATGTCTTTCAGCTCTCTAAAGAACATAGGCCTTCAACTCTCTTCTAAAGGTGTCTGTCCTGTGCTTCTTTCTTCAGGCATGTCTCAAGTTTCCTAGTTTTTTCACATCTGCGTGTGCCTTTTTCTGCCCTGCTGTTCTTGGCTTTCTTTTGTGCCTTTGACTCAGAGGATTTCATCTCTAGTCTTCTGGTTATATTTGTGGTCACTGTTTTTATGTCTGTCTGATCCATCACCATCTTCTGTCACTTACTTTGTCCTTCTTACTTTTGTCTCCCCTCCCTGTAATGACAGAGTTGAATCTTCACAGGCGCAAAATGTGTTTGAAGAAGTTGCACATATTGCAAAGTTTGAAATAAAAACCCAAAAGTATTCCATAGTATCTTGTTAATTAATGGTTTGTTTTGTTGGGGTTTTTTGGGGGGTACAGTCTTCGTCTCCTCTGTTGAACTGCTACCAAGGACTGACCAAGTATCAAATGGGCTCCAATTTGAGTGACACCAACTCCATGTCACCCCGTAGTGCTGGGCCTCAGTCACCAATGCTGTCTGGATCTTTCAGCGGGCATGTTCAGAATGGAGAGGTTCAAAAGCTGCGTGATGAACTTATGATGGCAAGATCCAAGATGGCTGAATGGGAAGGTGTTTATACACAGGCAAAGAGCGTAAGTGCTTTTTTTGTTTTATTTTTTGCCTTTATTTTGTGGTGAAAAGAGAATGTCTTTTGTGACCAGAAAATTGAACATTGTGGAGTACAACTGAAATACTGACAGTCCTAGAAGTACCCAGTAATATATGCCCAAGAATTAAGGACATCAGTGTTGATTTATACATTTTCATACTTTTTTTGGTGGTATGGGGGTGGTGGTTACTATAAGTACCTATTAACTCTTCTAATTTTCTTCTCCCCCCCCCCATTCCCCCATGAAGTAGCAAGGATTAAAAAAGACCTTTCTCTGTCAAACGGAGCATTAAATGAAAAAGATATGTAGAATGTTTTCACACCTATTGCCAACTCTATGCGGTATTATTATTTTCAAAGCCAGTCATAATATTTTTTTTATTTTTTTTAAATATTTTTTTTGTGAGCGGATGCATTTATTAAAAGGAAGTTGTTTGGGGACTGTACAGTCCCGTATTGCTAGGGCTGCTTTTGGCACTGGGGGACTGCAAAGAAACAACTTTTCACCTGTGGTTCGAGATCAACAAGCCATCACAGGATGAATCTCGATCCGACTGATACATAACTAATTTAATTAGTATGGTGGGAGAATCTAGATCTAGAGCCAAACATTGTTTATTTAAGGCGAATTTATCGTTTATGTCGACAGGTTTGATGATCTATCTAGAGTCTAGATCTAGATTCTAGATCTAGTAGTAGGGCCTACTAATGACATAGACTGTAGACTAGATCTATACTACATGGTAGGTCTACTCTTCTTCAATTAAAAAAAATTCCAGTCTGTGTCTATAATATCTAGGACTAGTACTAGATCTAGATCTAGTTTAGATCTAGATCTAGGCCAAGTAGTACGCCTAGTATCAGTATTACCAAAGATTCTCTACTTCCAAGCGTGGACATAAAAATATAAATTTGCCTTAAATAAACCGTATTTGGCTCTATATCTTCTAGATTCTCCCACTACACTCATACACTTAACAGTTGCCAGATCTAGATCTATGTATCAGTAGGATCTAGATCTAGATAAAGAGTATAATATATAAAAAACATAAATGATTGGCTTTTTTTTTTTTATATTATACTTTTTTTTTATCCTTCAGTGGAAAAAATTGATATGTGTTTCCAAAAAGTATTTATTTTTCATTTAAATCTGAAATTCTAAATATCGTCGGCAGAGAATTCTAACCGTCTAACTCCGAAATTTTCTTGAATTGCTTTTTTCCTTAAAATAGATCGACATAACAAATGGCTACGTCCTATTAAAATCTAGAACAATTGTGACAAACAAAAAGTCTTGTTTTAAAGAGAAATTCTAACCGTATATTCCGACTGGCTTCCGTGACTGAAGAATTTTAACCGTCTAATTCGTTTAGGTAGCCCGCCATTGTGGATCACGGCGATAACGTTTTGGTCTGAAGGAGGCGCTTAATTATAAATAAATGTAAAATCAGAAAAGGCTGCTTTTGTTAAAGGGTTGGTTGACTGTCGAGCCTGTGGAGAAAAAGGAGAGAGAAAGCAGAAGATCGTGGTCCATGAAGTACCATCTGCGAGTGAATGGGGCCAGAGTAAAAGTGTGCACGGCTTTCTTCTTAAGTCCTGTACTTTGTTACTAGTGTGTTCACATTGTTCTCACATGTGGGTTGGGTGTAGCAGAGGGTGAGGTTCCAGTTCAGAGAAAAAGGGTTAGGGAGGAGACTACAGCATCAAAGGTACTTAAACAGTTTCTTCGTGATCCACCCAAGTTGCCATCTCACTATTGCTGAGGGACTCCAGCAAGTTATACTTGGAACCTGTTTTCCAGAGCTTACAGGCAGTGTACCGCCGTTTGTATAAAGAAAAGTATGAGGGGGGGGGGGGGGGTACTTTCTACCTTCAAGTTTAAAGAGGAGATCAATGCTATGAACCTGTCATAATTCCATCCTCGAAATGATAGGTGTGATCTTTGTGTGAGCTTTGAGGAGGGGAATGTGGAAGAGGGGGCATACAAAAAGACAGCAGACAAGGAAAAATGCATGGGTAGCCCCAAAATCAAATACATCAAAATGGACCAGCAATCAGTTCTGCTATATCCACGCACCAATGCTTCTGCTTTGTACTACAAGACGAAATTGAATGTACACAATTTCACAGTACAGGAACTAGAGAGCAAGGACTGTGTATGTTATGTCTCAAATGAATGCGAAGGTGCTCTGACTGCAAATAAATTTGCTCCTTGTGTGGCTGATTTTTTGTCATCTGATTTGACTCCAGATCATTATATACAGATGGATGTGGCTGTATCAGAACTGCAAAGTCACAATGAGTTCTGCACTGTTACATTTCAGCATTGTCAATGGTAAAACTGTAACATTAAAATTCCTAGAGAAGGGCTATACACAGATGGAGTTGGACAGTGCTCACAGCACATCTACTACCCAGCTGATTATGTCAGGCTAATGGAAGAAAGTAGGAAAGTGAAGCCATATGTAGTCAAGTATTTGACTCATTGTGTCTTTTCTGATTTCATCAAACTAACCAACCAGAGTTTACACACCAGATGGTCAAATTAAATACAAACTGAGATTTGATGATGACTGGTCACATCTGCCTTTGAAGCGCGGCGAGTCCACAGACATTCTCCATAAAGACATGAAGGGACTGCCTCTGTACCAGGATAGAAAGTTTAATTCGTCCATAGAGAACTTTAATAACACATGCAAGAAATGAAGTCTGTTGTGCCATTTGACTACCACAAGTTCTATGACAATCTAGAATTGAGTGCGTCACCAGTGCACAAGTTAAAACCCTCGGTTAAGTCTAATTTGATATGCTGTGTATTGTGTTTTGGTTTTTGTAGTTTATTTTTTAGCTAACCAGAGCTTTAGCTTCATTGGGTAGTGCATTTTAAAGCCTCATAATGGTGCTTGGACAAGAGGATAATTCATTCCTGTTGACACTGGATGCTGCTATGGCATACCTCATCTTGATGACTATGTAAAATGTGTTATTTAATTAGGCCATACATGAGGTGGGGATGCATTATATGAGGTTTAGTTGAGCTTTAAAAAAAATCATATTAATATAATATATGCTCTTTGTTTGTTTTGGAGTGTGTTTTTTTCAGTTTAAAATTTTTTTTCATTTAGGACTTGTTTTGGCCTTTTTACATGAGGCCCGTTGCAGGTTCTTTTTGGGGGTAGGGTTAGAGTTTGGTCTCTTCTTTATTGTGTTTGTTGGGGTGGTCGCTCGTTACTCGGATGTCCTTCCTTATGACACCCACAAAGGCTTTATTGGGGGGGGGGGGGGTTTGCGCAAAATTTTCAGACAATCTGGTTGAGGCTTACATGCAGGTCTAATATTACTTACTAGAGTCTTCCAACCAAGTTAAACCATGTTTTTAGAGTTAGAAGCATTTCAGTTTCTTCCACTGGAGAACTGATGGGTCGCTTTTCAATCTTGCTCGACTTCGAGCCAAGACCAAAATCAACAAACCAAACAAGAATACGAGACCTTTTCTTAGCCGGTGATGCTGCTGTTGTCGCTCATAATGAATCAACCCTACAAATAATCCTGTGTTTAAGAAGATTGAGATGGCTGGGCCATGTCAAGAGAATGGACGACAACCGGATTCCGAAGAAATTTCTCTATGGACAACTTGCCCATGGTAAGAGACCAAGGGGAAGGTCAAAACTGAGGTACAAAGACATCTGCAAAAACAGATTATCTAAGCTTGGAGTAGATGTCAGCATCTGTGAAGAAATAACCAAGGACAGGAAAATGATAAATGAAAGAACTATTATGCTAGTGACTAGAGAGCAAGCACTGCGACAGAATCTGCACTTCAAACAGGAAAAATTAGCCGTAAAAGAAGCTCCATGAAGACAATTCATATACGGAAATTCTTATCTGTCCCCCCTCACCCCCCCTCCCCCTCTCTCTCTCTATCTCTCTCTCTCTCTCTCACCCCTCCCCCCCTCTCTTTCTCTCTCTCTCTCTCTCTCTCTCTCTCTCTCTGTCTCTCTCTTTCAGACCCCTCCCCCCCCCCTCTCTCTCTCTCTCTCTCAGTCCCTCCCCCCTTCTCTCTCTCTCTCTCTCTCTCTCTCTCTCTCTCTCTCTGTCTCTCTCTCTCTCTTGTAGCTAGACAAGTAACCAATCCTCACAATTTCCTTGAGAATGGAGGATCAAATAGTAGCTTTATAGTAAAAACTTAACGACGCACTTAATCTGTCGACAAGCCCATTGCCTAATTAGAATTATGTGGAAATAAAGTGCGACGTTCAGTTTTAGATATAATAACAGTATTATTGTTAGATTCTAGATCTACAGTACTGAGTAGTGCTAATTAGAACTTTTATAGTAGGTTTCCTATTAGATTGACTGCTGGTGTAGTCATTTCGAGTTGTTCGGTAACACTAACGTGTCACGATGACTGAGTTAGACGTAACGAAGTGCGTGGCGTCCCTGCCGGGTTGGAAAATTCTAAACGAACAATTCGTTCGTCGACACTTGGATGCTTAGAAATCCAAAACTGGGCGGTCTATCCGTATAACTCTGGTTTAGGACTTAAAATAATAAAATTTCTGCAATTTTGTTTTAAATACTTAAAGGTAGAGTCATATATACCAGTCTAGCGCATTTAAAGATAGTAAATCCCCATAAGAGCCTTTGAATTCAGTTTTTTGTCTCCTGCAAAATTTACGGAATCGGAGTTGGACGGTTAGAATTCTCCGCCGACGACATGTAAGTGTGCTATATTTGAATGCTTTTCACAGGCTTGTGAAGCTTGGAAAAAAGAAGCAGAGGATGCCAACAAGAAAGCAAAGTCTGCAGAAGAAGAGCGCATGGTGGCGTTGAAACACAAAGATGAGGTATTGTACACATCCCGTTGTCTTGTTATTCTTTTAGAGGGACTGACAATTGTGTCCCGATGCCGTAGAATCAGGCGCTCGTCAATTTTTGGGCATGTGGGGTTATTAATGTCATCTTAAAGCTTTGTCATTTAACTATCTTTCAATGAAAAAAATACACATTGATCGTGAATAGAAGTCGAGGTATGTGCAATTAAAGGAGGTGGGGTTCGCCTGGTTTCAGAGGTAACATTAGCGAGAAAATGGTCACCAAAGTTGGTTGATTTCCAAACCTTGAAAGTCTTAAGAAATGAAAAATTAAAATTGTGTGTGCTTTTAATCGTTTTTTCATTAAAATCCTAACTGTAATGTGTTTTACTGAGACATAAAAGGTGTTGAGCCAAATAACAGAAAATTGATAAAAATTACTGAGCAGGCAGAAAAATGCCTTTTTCTTTGATTTAATTATTTTGACGAGCGCCTGATTTTGCCATGATGCCTCACAATTAATGAGAAAATTTATAAGATTGAAAAAATGTTCTTAAGATATCAGAAAGTGAATTAAACAGAATAAAAATGGGAAGAAAAGTTTAGTTAATGCTGTCTGCAAGGCTATGTTCTAGAAATAACTCCCTCTCCCTAGGGGAAAGGAAGACACTTTTTTTTTTTTTATTGTCAACACAAGCAACCAGACATGATAAAAATATCAAATATGCTTCAAGAGATAGATTGTAGATTGCAGTTTTTCTAATAATTTTGTTTTCCGGCTTATCCATATTTTCTGGTCAGTCAAGGACAGTCCAGTGATGGGATTTTTTTTTTTCGTCCTTGATGTCTGACTCAACATTTTTATCTGAATCCTCATCAATGTCCGATTCCTCCTTTTGACTAGGCATTGTCCTGTAGTTTGTTTAATCCTCCCCTTCATTGTTATGATAAACATATAGTGCGTCATAACAGAAGAGATCAATACCTGGACCCACGCTTGACTCATGTGGGGGGGAAGGTTCAAGAAATTTGTAAGAAAAACGCCAGGTTAAAAAAAATTGTGTCTTGCTGTTTTAAGGCCTGATAGCAAATCTAAAAATTATTGCTGCTGAAGTAGAAAGATCTTGCCATGCAGAAAATCACACTGATAACAGCAGTTGAATGAGATTTCCTTAATTAACAGTCAGGTTTGGTCAATCTGGACGAAAATGGATTAACATACTTTCGAACCTGCCCTGACAACCACCTGTACAAACGGCCACTTTCCATCCCCCCCCTTGCATTTTTTCTATATAATTTAAATGTGTAAAACGGGCACCTGTTCAACGTGGCCGCGGATACCATATTTTAACACACAACCCCTATCACACCTAGCAATAACCCCTGTCTTAGACGGCCACCTTAGTGACTCCATTATGTTTTGTCATAAATTGTGCCCTGGTGTTGTGGGCGAGCCGTCATAATCCAATCACCTGTCGTTGTTTTTTGGTAGTCCCTTCAACCGATCATGTTCCATAGGCCCCACCCAGAACTCATACACAAATCGTAAGTGAGATGAGTGGTCACTGTTTACCCAGTCTGTAACAAAGTAACAATGGACGTCAACGTGAACTTGTGACAGAAGTGTCGCTCGTTCTTCGAGTGGTGGCGAACCTTGTGTTTGTTTTACCATAGCACTCGGTCCTCCTTGTCAAACACATTTTGTTATATTGTCACCCTCGCGCAAAAGCATCAACAAGAGCAACAAAAAAAAGGGGAAAAAATCCCAGCGAGAACAACAACAACAATGCGGCCATTGTTTTCTTCATTTTGATAGTCCTGCCTAAGAAAGACGGCCACTTGTCTTATACGGCCACTTTTCTCCTTGACAATGGGTGGCCGTCTTTCACAGGTTTGACTGTAGTTGAAAAGAAATGAGGGTCACACATGTATGTGGTGCTAAGCAAAATCCTTTGCATTGACCCTATGCGTCTAGATTAGAATATGCATTTTGGTATACTTTAATGAGATGTTTACTGGAGCTTTTGAAAGCTGGAGTATTAATGCTTTATTAGTTCTTTGCATTAGAATTTTTGTTGTTACAAAAATTATGAGAGCAATAGATGACTTGTCACTAGGAAAGATTTCTGCAAACCTTAAGAAACAGTCAAAATTGTCTAAAAGTACACAAGTGGGGAAATCGGAAGTGTCTCTTTGTTCGGGTGATTGTCATATTTAGTTGGCCTTGAGCAGATTCGACTGTAAGTGAGATTTTTATCCCAGCAATGTAGATTAGCACAATATATGACATGGCAGCTTCTTACTCGGGATGTTTGATGTTCTTGTGTCTAGGTGATGTCACAGAATCAACGTCTGCAGCAGATGATGTCTGGGGGCCCCCACATCCATGCTATATCACGCTCTAATGAGATGGACAAGATCCCCGTTCAACAACTACAGCAGTATAGAGTACAGCTACAGAATGACTTGGAGCTACTGGACAAGGTCTGTTTAACAGTTTGAACATTTGTCATGTGTAATTTATTGTTATTCTGGGAGACCTTAAAATGGTCAACATTTCAACTGCTTTGTTTAGGACTCTGCCATACGCCATTTTGAAAAGTGACGTGTAATGGAGTTTTACACTGAGCGGTTGATTTGTTGTTCTGAGTGATTTAATTCACTGTAACTTCATTTTTTTTGGTTGATATTCATCAAAGTTTCATATCCGTCACGACTGGTCATTCAACCTGACCGTAAACCATGTTGTGTTCTTACTCGGTGTGTTTATACAGTGCATGTTGGTTATTGGGGTCACCAAAGTTTACCTGTACATGGAGTGCTTGGTCGGTGACTGGGGAACGAAAATCTAGGTTTGGTAGCTCTCTGAGGCTAATGACTAATGGTATGTGCCAGCAATTCAAATGATGGCAGGTCGTTACTGTATGAAAATGGGCAGTTTCGATGCGTCATTACAGTAATTAGGTAGCGTAAACACGGCCTTGCGGGCACTCGCGGCCTTCCGAGGTCGTGGTATCGGTGAAATCGAGGTAATTCAGATCGCTATTTCGCTATCAAACACCAATAAATGCTTTACACCTTGTAAAAGTTCAGCTATTCCTCGTTTCAATGTTGCAAGTTGTTTATATGTCAGATTATTAGGAGCTGGAGAATGGTCATGGAAAGCGAAACCCCTCGCAGTAGGAATGCGTGGTCGGCCGGTTAAAAAATTTACACCCATGCATTCAAATCCTTCTCGGAAAGATTGATACTTAAATACTGTCTTTCATTGGCGGAGAACTGTAGAGCTTTGAAAGGGCTTTCCTATGGTATATTTTTTGGCCTTTGGCGTTAAATGGAAAGCCTTTAAAAATACGGTCACAGTTTTCAAAGATCATTTTTAACACGAAATATGTAAAATGCGGGCTCTAAAAAGGTACCAATAGAAAGATCAGTTCATTTTCTATTAGAATAAAGTAATCAGCTTGGAATTATTTTGCATCAATCCTTCTGCGAAACTCAGAAAGCATATGACCCCCCTACGCGTGGTACACTACAGTATAGAGCCGACTCGCTCGCCTCAGGGGCCAACTGGGCGCTAGCCGGGTCAACGCTCTGTGTTTTTATTGAAATAACGACAGATCATCGTGTTTGAGGCAATAAAATACTGATTTGTAATGATCTTACAGTCTTGAAAAAAAAAGTGGGCTCCATATCTATGTTATAGTGATTGTACTCTGTTAATGTGGAGATGTTTGGTGCACTTGGTCATTGGTACTCTTTTATTATCTGTCAAACATGGGGTTACAGCCAGTTAGCGACTTAAGCAAATTTGATCAAATTTTAAACAGCTACCATTTTCTTAAAAATTGACTTGAGATGTTAAAGAAAGGTACGAAAATTATCCAAAGATATAGGCCTTTCATATGGAATAGATAAATTTGATATACAGCTACTTTGAAAATTTAGCTTCTGGTACCTACAGTAATGTCACATGAGCTCTTATCTTTTGATGCATGATTATAGTGATGTCGTCATTATTTCCATTATCAATAATTAATCAGTCCATGATATAAAGAGGAGCAGATTTTTCGGCATCACTCTGGTATCGAGTATTATATGCTTCCTTGCACTTTTTTCTCTGCTTAGAGAACGTAGACACTACCTAGGGAAATACAAAGACAGTTTTAGCTCATGTCTCTCTTTAGCTGTCGACCTTGTATTTAGATTTGCAGACAATATATAAATTACAGTAAAGGATCTACTGTTATTGTATGGCAAAAATTTGGTATCTTTTGTTTCATCTTGCATTTAGGCAGATACAACTGTGCAAGCTTACTTATTTTCAGTGATCGGTTCAAGTTGTTGTATAATGCACTCTTAAACTGAAATATTAATTCCTTGCCCCCACTCCTCTTTTTCCTCGACAGCTGATCTACCAGAAGGTTCAACAGAACATTTGATGCTGGTGCAGCTTAGGTCTTGTTTTTTCCAGTAGTTGGCTTTCCAGAGTTGTATGGGATGATTGCAATACGCTGAGGGAAAGATATCGAAGCGGGGCCACGGTTGTCTCTGTTCTTGGAATTTGTAAATATTTTGATTTATGTAGATTTGGTTGTTTTGAAAGTTCAAGTACTTTTTGAAAAATAATTATTATGAACTATTGTAATATAAATGAACAATTGTAATTTTTGTTTAAATGTTTGATTGAGGTCTTTCATAGACTTCCCCCCCCCCCCCCCCCCTTTAGGTACCAATTATGTAAAAAAAATAATTCATTATCTTAGCAACTAAAAGTTTATTTCTACTTAATGGTCTTGCTTTAGAGGGGTTCTTTAATAAAATGTGTTCTGTAAATAGTTTATTCTCCCCTTATATTCATTGTTCTAGGTTTCTTTGAGCTTGTTCTATTTTTCTTTTCTCTATAATATTTTTTTGCATGCAATTATTAGAATTGCTAAGAAATGGTTTGTTTCGGGTTAGAACTTTGAAGTACATTGTGTATTATATTCCTTCTATAAAAAGCGATGTCATTTGTGTAAAGAATTAAGCATTTCTGCAGGCGTTAATACTGCAACAAGGACTGTTACGGAACTGGACTAATAATTGTAAGGTTATGGGTTCAGGTGTTTGAGGCACAGCTTGGCCTGTTGTATATCCCTGGAATAGACCATTTACTTTTTTCTTCACTTCACCCCTGTGTGTGGTACCCAGCCATAGACAACGAAAAATCTTGTCAGTATGTTAGTGTTTTAGCGCCTTTAAAGTGGCAGCTTACACTGTATGCTTCCCAGGAAGCTGAGAATGTTTCTGGGTGTTCTATGGTCTGCTGGGACATGGTTATGGACTTGCATGTAATAAATGCTATTATTATTATTTTTATCAATATTATTACTAAGGATAGAGATAAGTATTTTAGTTAAAATCGCCATTTCAATTTTATTTCACACTGCTGCCATTTATCTCTTCCTTTCTAAATACGAACTGAAATGTTTGTGAGTATTCTGGTAGATTGGAACAAGAATGGTCTTAACCTTTTTGACATTTCTGATTTCGCTTTTCAAATTCATTTAACTATTCGATGATCGGGGGGGAGACTTTTTCTTTGTAAAATGTTGATGATATCATGTAAACTTTTGTTTTGCCTTGTTTTTGTTCTTAGTTGTCTTATGTATGAATCATTATTTCATGTACTTGGAGTAAGACTTATTTGCAATCAAACATGGAATTATGTTTTATTAAATGATTATGCATTATGAAAAGCATTAAGATCCTTTTATAGGTGAATACTTGGAGTAACTGAGAAAAAAAAGCCCCCAAAAAACACCAAAAAAACCCACTTACAAATGCTTTCGTATTTTCATTCCACATTCTGCCATGATGCATATCTTGTTTCTGAATGTTCAATTTCATTTACTGCTGTTCGGTCCGTGTTGCCTGTTTCATTGAAATACATATTATATTTTTTATTTTAGTTCCATTTTTGAGGTGAAGAAAAAAACATTTTACTTGTTGAAGTGTACTAACGCTCACTGCCTTAAGGGCAGTTAGTCTGTTGTTTCATTTGCAAAAGAGTGCATCAGTTGCCATTGTTATTGTTGAGAAAGACACCGTTTACCCATCTTTCACTCTGTACAGTATTGTGGTTTGTTACAATGATATAAAGTGCTTTAGAAGCCTCATCGGCTCTATGCTTTATGTATCTGAAAATCCTCAGTGCAATATGTATTGCTCACTGGCTTTCAGAAATATAATATTTGTTCTTTTGTGGTATAAACATCAAAGAGTATCATGAGTTAGAATTGTATTTATGATTCGCACTTATTTGTTAATTTTGCAGTGATTGAGTCAATGAGAAATTTGTATTTGTCTGTTCAAGTTGATGTATTGCTTTCCTTATGATGCTACATGGGAATGTTATCTGAAAATTGAGTTCAGTTCAGAAGTTCAGCTTTTACAATTTCTCGTGTTAACTTAGACAAGTTTTCTGTTCATGTATGTCTGTTATGTTGGTAGTTTCATGAACATATTGGTCAGGGTTTGTGTTGTTTTGGGGTTTTTTTTCTGTTCCTGTAGATTTTTTATTGACACTGACATAGTTTCATTTTTCCTAACATACTGATTTGACATGATTTATTAACAAGGACATGGTACTAATTTTCATGTGTTACGGAAATTGATAGCTACAATAGGATTGAGTAATTGTATATTTTAAGTTAAAGTCCTGTATAGACAAACCTTCGAGAGGGTTCGTTTATTTGGTGTTTTGTCCGCTCTTGCGTTCAGCATCGAGTTCTATTTGTGTACATTTTTGCAAAGTGGAAATTATGATTACGCATTGATGCTGTCATTGGTATGTGCGCCATTACCAATTATTTACCTTTTGCATTCAGCTAAAGTGATGCCTCTTATATAGTTTTCTTATGTTCCATTAAATACCCTGTATAGTAGTTTTGTAAATTTGCAAAAGGTACCATTTGCGTAATTTTGTTTCTCTTACCTTACTACTCTTTTCTGCAAGCACCATTTTTAACACATTTGTTTACTCTACATAGATTCAATTATTTTTGTGTGGGTAAAATGTATTCTCTTTAAAAAAGATGATCACTTAAAGATTGGAGGAAAAATGAAAGTTTCCATTGTTGTGGATTACTGGTAGTGATGATGACTCTCAGTGGTGAACAGTACAGAAATTGCACTGAAGCAAGTTTTTGTGAAAGTTTAACTGCATGATTTTGTGCTTTTGCCCTTTGTTTTTGAAAAGATATGCTGTCAGTGTACATATATATATATGCTGTTTGTGACATTCAAAGTGGTATGTCCATGTGGAGCCGTGACTGCTGTTTTAGAGGGTACCAGATTTTCAGGTGTTTTTTTAAATCCCACATTCTGTTTTGACGAGCCCATCTGAAAGGAAACTTCTGGAAGAATTTGACTAATGGACTGAAATATACATGGAGCTCATTAATGTGCTGCTTTCATAGGCTCATGAATGTAAACTTTCGTCTAAACACAGCAAGAGCTAATTTTAATGACTCGGCATGTTTATTTTTCAGCTTGATTGGTTGTGCCATGGGAGTTGAGCTTTGATATCACTGCAGTTTCTGCCCATTTCCTTTGTTCTTTTTGTGTGCTGGACTCTTTTTCTTCATCGTCCTCTGCCAACATTCCCCCTCCATATTTCTCAGGGGCATGGGGCTTATGGATTTTCCACTAATGCTTCATTCATGTCCTTAGAATGATAGGGTTCTGACTTCATAATGCATAATGTTGAGAAAAAATTTCAACGATTCACACTCTTTTAGTTAATATGATTTTACACCAGTTGAGCATCAAACTGGAAAAATACAGGTCAGATTGTCTGGGACCTTCTGACGTAGCGCTGACTCAATGTGCAAGGCATCTGTGCCTGTACTGTGTAACGTGTAACTCAGTTCTTGCAAAGAGTGGAGTTACAATCCTGTCATCTTAAGGGGGATATATTTTCACTTTTTCTGACTAGATCTTGAGGTTGTGTTATGGGATTTTTTTATGTGGCTCAACTCAAAGCATTTGTCGTGTTAATAAATAATGTGCAAAATAAGCGCCAACACTAAACTATCTTTATCGATTGAACCAATGGATGTTCGTAGAGCAGCAATGAAAAATTGTTTGTGGGTAAGAGGTTTTTTTTTTTAACCTGCCAGCCGTATGAAGTTTGGTTAGCATCAGAAATTAAAATACATTAGAAACGATCTTTTCCAGCATTCTATTTCGAATGAAAAAGGAATATTCAGTTTAACATTGACTTTTTGTTTGTAAATATCCAACCAAGGTTTTGTTACTGTTACCAAACATATCATTTCATCCACCTGTTGACAATCTCGTGTTTACTCCATGAAGTTTCAATGCATTTTGTTTTTGAGTTTTTTTGTGTGTAAAGAATGGTGGTTCACATGAGCCTTACCCAGAAGGCAGCGAATCTATATTGCAATGCAAGTAATTGGAGCAACTATGATCTTTGCGTACCACATGGACAGTGTTAAATTTCAAGTCTGCTGTGAAGAATGATTATTGACTTAACATTGATTTGTTGATGATGGCCAAAGTCTGATATTATGCTGGTATGTATGTCATATGAGTTTTTATTTTGATGTTCTCTACTCTATTTTCTTTAAAATTCAAATTATCTCCTCATTCCTCCAATTTTGGTGCAACATCAATCTCTGTTATATTTGTTATTTTATTTCACTTTAAAATGTACGCCTTTCTTGTAAGGGCAAAAAAGAAGAGGAGAACCATTTAATAATTTTAAAGAATTTGGGCAGCTAACTGTTGTTTGAAAAAATTTAAACTTAATCTTGAAATTTCTATGAATGTATGAATGCAAAACAATTTTGAATGTTTTCTTCTTCTTTCTCAAAGTTCTGGAAATGCCCTTTTGTCTTGGCGTTTTCTTTTCTATGGGTTGGTCACTGAGAGCACTTTTGAAAAAGTTCTGGCTTGAGCATGATTCTTGATTTGTTTTTTTATCCTAGAGGATGAGGCTTTTTTTCAAAGAGTAAAGAGGCAGTTGTTCTAAAAGCTGGGTGGTCTTATTCTTTGTAATTTTTAGATATATCTTGGCTTTTAAAAGTTGAGTCGCTTAGAAGTACAAATACCATACGTCATTAATGTTTGTATTTTTACGAGTTACAGTTAGAGTGGTAATATTTTCAGATGGCTACTTAATAGAGATATATTGTGTTGTGGTATGAGTTGCAAGCACTATTTCTTTGTTGTCGTTAGTACCGTAGTGAGAATTAAAGTGGACCATTTGAGTGTTTCAGTTCACAGTTTTGGGGATTATCTGAAATTGATTGCACATGATTATAATCATTCTGTCAGTTACATTCCAGTTTGATCTGAAAGTACATATTTTGGGAGGATTGTGTTGTAAAGCGTCATATAAAGAATGAAAATTTATGTGGAATTTTTTTTTCAAATGAAATGCTTAGGCTGTGGACAAAGTACAATTCATGGTTTTGCATCTAATAGGCCATCACAGCACTTGCCAACAGCAATAATTTGGTGCTCAGGGAAAACATTAAAGTGACAACTGTTCCAGGAGCTAGTGTACATGCACAAGTAGGCTATAGTCACAGACTGTTAGATAACATTCTCAACAGTAAGGTGACCAGCAAAATTTGTTTGGGGGGGGGGGGGGTTGTGCCTTAAAAGAGGTTTGCTGAAAGCTTACCAAGGGTTACTGTTGGTGTTTTTTTCCGAAAGTGCCCAGTGTGTGCAGAGCAAAATAACATGATTTAGGGATTTTGTTTGCCTTTGTGATCATTGTATGCAAAACTCCAGAACGAAGCTCACAGGGTGAAATTTCCAACTATTAATTGGCTGGTAGTATCCAGCTCTGTAATAAAGTTGTACAATAATCAAAATGAGATTGTCAACCACAAGCTTTTTGTTCTTACAGTTGCACGGTTCTGGATGAAGCCTTGAGCTCTCAGACTTATTTTTAAGTAGAAATCAATTATGATAAAAGTTCAAGCTGATTCTATCACTATCAGAGGCTTCAACTCTTCTACACAACAAGCATGCCACAAACAAACTACACAAACTCAGTCCCTAGATATGATTATAAATTCTGGAGGGGGAGTGGTGTTGTTGATATTCCACTTTATGTCTGACTGTTGTGCATTGACAAATGAACTGGTGTAAAGCATTATAAATGAAACGTTCGGAGTACTGCTCCGTGCATCTCAGGAAAGGTAAGTTGCTCCGCTCATGCTTCATTGCTTCATGGTGTGTTGCTGCCGTATGTCTTGGTGGTGCTCATGGGCTCTGCTCTAAGGCTGACGGTGAAGAAAATGTAAATTTTCACTTTATCTCTAGAGATATTCACTGCGAAAGCCAGGGCTGGTTCTTTTGATTTTTCTATTATTGGCCATTTAATTGATTTAGCTTTTTGTTTTGTAGATGTTCAGTCAAACAAAGTTTTAGGCTTGTTGTTATTTTTTAACATGTAATGATGTCTGTCATTAAATACACCGCCATCTGTGGTGTAAAGGCCAGGCATTTTGCTGTCACATGCAGAAGATGTGAGTTCAAATCTAATGAGAGGAATTTTTTTCTCTCGAGTATTTGCATTTGTCTGCTGGAACATTGGCCCGGGAGTACCTTGGCAGGCAGGGTTGAAGTAGCTCACCTCCCTGATGATCTAAATAATGTTGATGGGAGCACGAAACACCTAACAATTAGTTCATTACATTTTTTTATAGTGCATCGTTGAATACATACAAACATGTAAGACCATTCTTCTTTGACATGCTTTGCACCCATGGACTGTATAGCATAAAGTAAATGATCACCTATATTGGTTTTATTTTGTATATTGATAATTAGATATATGGGATTCAAGTTCTTGCTCGTTATCATGCTTGTCACAGGATATGGTGTTTTGCAGATTTTGGCATACATACCTGTTAACAGACAAATGTACAAGCCAGTTGGATTGGTTTTACTTTTGTTTGAATGGTGAATTACTTTAGATTATTGCATTAGTTGTGGTAATTCTGTCTGGTTGATATTCCAGGTGAGGGTTAGTCTCTCTTCAGAATACAGGGTTTAATTTAAATGGAGTTGAATTTCAAACCCCTGTAGACCTGTTTGTCCTTTCACCTCTCCTGTGCACAACAACCTCGGCTCACAAAGGTATTAAAAAATGTCTCAAAATCGTATACATGGCATTGTTTAGTGACTTGTACAGGGATGCGTGTTTGCGATACAATAGATTTTCTATTTAAATACAACAGTTATTTCATTCTTTGAGAACATGAGAACAAAATAATTTAGTGCAGTGGTTGTAGTGGGTGGGGTTGGGTTTGTTTATTTGTTTGTTTGTTTGTTTGGGGTTTGTTGTGTTGTTTGTTTGGTTTTTTTTTTTGGGGGGGGGGTTATAGTGACTATTCGTGTATTAAAACAAGAAATCAGTTTTGCAAGACACACTGAAACTCGAACCCACATTAGGGAGAGCATTGAAATTTTATTGTAGGAAGCATTCCATAATTTTAGATTTTCATTTAGCTTTATATTATCTTTACTCAGTGTTGTTTGTGTGTACCATTGTGTAAGCGAGTTCAGTGAAACTCGTTCACACTCACATGAAATGTCCTGTGTTTAAGATTTTAAAAGATATTGTAAAAAAGATACGGAGGTAAAAAAAAAAAGGGGGAACATTTTAGTCCTTCAGGTGGTTGATGGGTGCTTTAGTGGCATCTGCTCTGTACCTTTTGTGTAGATTGTACAATTTTCATAATTATTTCCAGGCGAAATGTGGACTTTGTCATACATGTACTGACTTGTAATAAACTACAAGTTGATGAACCTGCGACAAATGTTCAGTTAAAATTTTTCTATGGGTGGTTGGAGGGTGCCACAGGTAGGTCCTACTTTTCTTGTCCTTTATTGCTTATGTCTATCTGTCTTGCTTCTTCCCTGCACTAGATGGCTGTTATATTGTGTCAATGTGCTTCTCTTTACTCCAAATCTTTTTTAGCATTATTGTAGAGTTTCAGTATCATTCAATCAACAGAGGCCCAATGTCGCCTAGCTTTGGTATGGTCGTAAAATCAAAACGTTTCAGCCATTTGTCAATCTCATGCTGAAAATAAAAGGATTTAAGTACATAAATTTTGGTAGAAATATATATTTCTCTTTTTAATTTTTTACTATTGCCTTCAGACTGATATAGATCTACTTTCCCTCTACTCCAGCTGAATTTAATACTAATCAGATGTAGAAAGTTTCTCGCTCTACCTTGTGTACATCGACTTGTACATGGATTCTGATAACCTTCCACCTATCAGTATTCTTTGATTTAGTTTGACCCCTAGAAATTCCATAATTTTGATTGATCTAAGCTTGAATCATTAGCTGTGTTTATTAAAGTTTTTGATTTTGTACATTGGTATTGAAACCGTCAACTTGGGAAAACTTAATCAGGCACTGAAATTGCCACCATCACCTGCATTGTTTAACATTGACATGCGTGATATATTATATTCATATGTACTACGGTAAAGGTCCTTTGTTTTGAATATTAGCATTTGTTGGACATTATTTGATGTAATGATGGTGTGTGTATACAGAGTATAGAGTCTGATATGCGTAAGGAGTTGCTTTATAGTTCCCTGTGCGACTTTCTTCTATGGTCTATTCCAGAGTTTCTTTTTTGTTTTGCGAGTTATTGTAAAGATTGTGTTACACTTTGTGTGCAGTTTTGCAGTTGGTTAATGGTGTAATAATTTGTTTAGTACTCAACAGGAAACTTGTGCCGTGCTGCTTTTTTTTCTGCAGCACTTGTGGCTACAATCTTCAAAGTCCTTTATAAAAAATCATGCCTTAGGTTTTTTAGTACACGTATATAATATGAGCTCTGTTTACTTATACCCATGCTCCTTAAATACTTAGCACTGTTATGAAGCTTTTCTGCTGTTGTTCATGTGACATTAGAAAAAAGTGAATATTTTTTTGGTGAAAAGATACAGTACAAGACAGTCTTCGTGAAGCTACTATAAAAAGGCTCAAAATTGCAGTATATTATGCAGCATCAACTGAATGTGCTAGTTGTTCGAGATGCTGCATTTCCAGATAAATCTAGAAATCTGGATTTCTGATTTCTGAACTTATCAGGATTTTGCCTAACTTCAGAATAATCTTTGCACTTGTCAAAAAAATAGTCTTGGTACAACATATTAAACAGTATGATTTTTGAATTTATAGTCCCCATTCGTGTGGTTCTTCAGAGTTCAGAAAGGTATGGATTTATTTTTTTGTAGCCACCTCTGTAGATGAATAATGCATTGCGATTATTTGATCTGAACTTGTTCTTAGTTGCTTTTGCTTGTGACATATTGTAAACAATTTCATATTTAGGAAGATGAAAACATACCTATAAGCATTTTTCTTGTATATAATGCTGGTCCAAATTTTTGTAAACGTTAACTTGGCTGTGCACATAGCTTTATTAAAAAGCACATCAGATGAGGCACAACATGGATAACTAAATCTTTAAAGTGCTCTTTCTTTTCACATAAACATGGGCTGTTCTAATCAAATAAATTTCTTTTTCTTTTAAATGTCTCTGAGAACCCTGTCTCTCTGAATGTGTGATTTAAGTACATGGATCTGCGTTGGCAGGAAAATATGAAGAAATTCAGCATGTGCGGTTTACACTGTTCTTGAAATAAGATTTCCAAAAATTTGTGGTTTGAAAATTATTCATTGATAATTATCTTACCTTGTACATAAGTAGGTTTTAATTTTGTACATATCTGTATATAAAACATTATGTAAATAAGCTAATCGATAGTACTGTTTTAAGAACAGGTTTTGGTTGTTTCTTTTGTTTTTTTTATTGTTTCTGCTGTCCCAAATACATTGATTCGTGCTGTATTTGACAGCGTATTTGAAATTCCTTATGTGAAAATGATCAGCTAGGTGTATATATATATAAAAGTTAAGCAATTAATATGTTTATGGGAGAAAACTGTTCTTGAGTCATTATTTAAGTAAAGAATGAAAATATTTTACCATGTACTAAAAATTCACCCAGAAATTGTGGTATCTATGGGACTGCTGTGTGCTACTGGAGTTGATCGTTTTTACTTTTTTGTGAAACAATTTTGGTTTCTTTGTTTTTTCAAAAGATTGTGTTGAGAAGCTCAGCTACTTTTCTTACTTACAAAGTTCCATGGTTTGCTGAGAATAATTCAACAAATTATAGATTTAGCAAGTACCTGCTTCTTTTCTGTTGATGTTATTATTGTTAAGATACATTGTCAGGCAAAAATAGCAATTGTTTATCAAATTTTTGACCAATAAACTATTTTATGATGCTTTGGAGTTTACTCAGTCTTTGCCTTTTTGTTGTTGCAAACATGATTGTGAAAATGTTTTTCCTGCTCCAGTAATCATTCTACTCTATCTGCAGCCTTTCTGCTGCTACTTCTTGGCTCCTTCCTGCTGTCTTTCAGCCACACCCCTGATCTTAGGGTTTGTAAGATCGAACTCCTAGTTCTGGCCTTCTCGGAAAAAGGCTTTGAATCTCGAAGGTCCTGTGTGCAAGTTGCACACGTTCATAAAAATTCCTTGGACTTGGTGGTCCAAAACCAATAAGAGCAGGCTTCGGCCGCCACCCGGGCAACCAACGTTCTTATTAATTCCTACCAAACTGAAAATGTTTAATGTGTCCCGGAGCTCATAATGACCTTTTAATGTAAAACACTTACCTAAAAAAGTCTTCTTGTGGCATTGACCAGAGTCCACCTCAGTGGATGAGCAGGGTCCGGCAAGTTGGTATCATACTAGGCTACAGTGCGGATGCCTTTGTTGTTTGAATCACCAAAAACCTCTTTATCCACTTGGCTTGGTCCTATCGGACTCGGGGAAAGACACGTTCGGAGGTCCCGCTTTCAAATAACCTCGCACAACATAGATCTCGCGTTGAAAGGGGCGTGACCAACCCCTCTTGTGTAAATGTAATCACTTCAACTCCTTAAAGCCATTTCTTCACATTCAAACACACACTCTCTCTCTCTCTCTCTCTCTCTCTCTCTCTCTCTCTCTCTCTCTCTCTCTCTCTCTCTCTCTCTCTCTCTCTCTCTCTCACACACACACACACGCGCGCGCGAGCTCACACGCAATTGCAAATCAAAACGGTGTGGGTGGTTGGCGGGTGCTCTGGTGCGGTTTAAGCTTCTTCTTTATATATATATATATATATATATATATATATATATATATATTAATATATATTATATAGATATATAGATATATATATATATATCGTCCTTATCTCCCTTTCTTGTTTATGTTTGCTACTCACTTGTAACAGCTCTAATCTTCTGAATCTCATAACCTTATGCAGTTGCGAGCGCCGTAAAACCTCTACTGAAACTAAAATTAAAAACCAAAACGGCCCAATGCAGCGCTACACTGTCTTCTAACATACTTTACTATCCAGCACCCACCCTCGCCTAAAGGAAAGTGGTGTTTTGTTGGGTCTTTTTTTTTGGGGGGGGGGGATGCCAGTGGTGTGTCCTACTTCTTTACTTTCCCTTTTTTTTTCCCTTTCTTTGGGTGGTTGGAGGGCGTCACTGGTAGGTCCTACTTCTTTACTTTCCCCTCTGTTGTTTCTGTCTGTGTTTCTTTTCCCCCGCACTAAATGACCATGACTGTGTCGATGTGCTTCTCTCTACTCAAACAAACGCACACTGCAGGCAATGTGTAATGATGCATCTCAATACCACCAGTGTGTGTGTATCCCTGCCGTGTGAGGGACCGAGCCTGATGGGCTCGTGAAACCTGATACATGTAGATAATGTTATAAAATATAATTTACAGAATACATGTACATGTAGTATGTACCTGCACTCTCGATGACAATCGGCGTGTTTTGCTTCGTGCGCACTGGGTGATTTAAATTCAAGCTACATGTAGGCCTACCACAGAATTCTGTGAGGCCTACACAAATACGTTGTGAGGAAAAATACAAAAATTTGATGGGGTTTTTCGTGACGCGCTGTTCGTCAGACATGGCATGTATCTGTTGGCCCCTATGATGAGTTTAATTTTAGCAGACGGTGTTGCCAATACATCATGTACAAAGAAAATGTAATGGTCCAGTCGGGGAATGGCAAATTTTAGGCCTACGAGCTATCCATGATTCGAACTTTCTGTGTTCTTATCATCTGTCGTCCGACTGTAATACATACTATTATTCATCTGATGTTTAACTGGCGGTCATGGATTTACCGCCCCCGTCCTGAAACGTAAACATGCCGATCATGCTTAAGAAGTAAGACAATAAACATCCCTTGTTTCCTCAAATAAATATCAGTCAGATTATCAGAAGTAAAAGATCTATCGCTTGTAGGCTCCTGGTCTGTAGTGTAACAAAGTTCAAAGGATACAAAAGGTCATTCTTACCATTATCCATTAAACTTCTGCCATCATAACCATCTTGTTATAATTATAACTATTCCCATGACCTTTAAAGTAAACCATGCATCATAATCATATTATACGTTGCAATCAGAATACTTAACTGAGTACTTACCTTAACACTATTAATGTTTATAATTAACACTATTATTAATGTTTATAACTACTGTTCATTTATACTTATGCATGTGACTCATATGAGCCTGTTTGTGAGTGCAAGCAGGACTATTGTATAATATTATGATTATGTTTATGTGCACAGATGAGTGAGGAAGAGAGGATGTGTGAGGGAAGAAAGAGTGCGGGTGTTTATGAGTGTACACATGTGCGTGCGTGTGTGCGTGCGTGTGTGTGTGTGTGCGTGCGTGTGTGTGTGTGTGTGTGTATGTGTGTGTACGTAGTAAAACACCAAACCAATGTGCCAGGATCTGGACTATAAATATTATATGTTCTTATCTTATTTTAAGTTTTGAGTTGTACAAGTTGTACCCAATTTTGGCTGAAATTGAAATGTTCAAATTTGGTTCTCGAACATGCTGATTGCTTGTCTGCTTTACCTTTTTTTTTTTTTTTAAATAGTCAAGAAATAAAGAGAGAAAAAAAAAACATCCCCGTGACTGAATGTTTTAATTTTATTCGAAGTTTTGTTGAAACTGGAACAAATATGATCGAGTTATACGGTACTTAAAAAATTAGACACTATAATAATATGTACCCGTACGATACATCCATGATTGTATCGGGTATAATTGGCTTTCCGTAAACTATCACTTTTTGACATTTGAAACGGGGCTGGGCTGCCCGAGAGTTAATTTGTTTATTTTTTTCTTTTAATCAAGAGTTCAACTTGCACACCAGAACGCCTGAATAAAGTTAAAACTCCTTGTACTAGTTGCGCACCTAAATTTATGAGTTATGTAACTGCAGATTACTATATTGGCGCCCACTGCCGTGAGCAGCAAGTACATGTATTAAAATATACATATTATGATGTATTAATTATTATGTTGTGGGTTTTTTTAAGCAATGCTTTTGACCTGATTACCTGCACTGTGCGTAATTGGAACGAGCGAGAAAGATTATGTTGGCTTCAGCTCTAATTAAAATACACACGGGGACTTGCGTGCGTGCATTTTACAATAAAGAATCAAAGTCGGTATATAAAGTCCCCCCCCCCAAAAAAAAAACAACCCCAAAAACCTTCATAAATTTATATAAAATACTAGTAGCCTCTTTCACGCGAAACCTTTTAAAATCAGTAGAAACGACCCACTATAGTACAGCGGTCAAAATTCGTGGTGCAATTTATCCTCAAATATCTCTTTAAGGGGTGAATCAATGTCATCTATATTTTGAATAGCAGTTTGTATCAATTTGTCTTAACTAAATCATATTTTTCCAGAACAATTGGGGTTAGATTAAAAAACATTTCTTAATAAATGTATATTAATTAAAGGCATGATGCGGGGGAAATTTTCAAATTCGTTAAGAAGAAGAAACTAAGCTTACAAATGTGGTAGCATCAATATAAGTAGAGTGGAGAATTGGGCCTTGAAGAGAAATTTTTTTTATTCTTTTGTGTTGCTATGGTAACGGCTGCCATATTGGAATATCATATATAGAAAATGTACACATTTCTAAAAAAATCTATCCTATGGTTATAAATTATTCTAAAATATTACAATAAGTGGTTTTGCAGCCTTATGTGGCTGTTTTAGTGGATGGACTTGGCATTTTTTATGTAGGAGGACAAACTTTTTCAGAATCGAGGTCCAAACTATGGGAATACTTTAACCAGGAAAATCTCAGATCATAACAACGGATTAAATTTATAATAAAATCATTTATTCAAGATGGTTTTTTGACTTCACTACTTATTACACTAGAATAATGTTTCATCTATCAGTATACCAAAAATTATGAAGATATATTAAGAACTTTTCTAATCATAGATTTTTTGCGTTCCCACCCCCCTTGAAAGAGCCCATTTTGAGAAAAAAAAACTTAAAGTTTTGACGCGCAAAACTTACTGTAAGTTGCGTCCAAAAGAAACTTGAAAATGTAATCACCTAGTCATTGTGTGAAAGCCTTGCGTTACCCACTCAGGCAGCATACCAATTTAAAGCTAAATAAATTCTCCATCATCTGACACATTAATATTTAATCTATTTTAAGAGTCGCCCGAGATATGGTCACTCAAAATTGACCTTTAAAAAATCAGGCTTGGCAAAATTGTGCGAAATCAAAGAAATGTAAAATTGTCTTTGCGCATTTACTGAAGAGTATCAATACTGATGGAATGGCGATATAATGCATGCCCAGTGAAGGGAGAATTTTGTCTTTGCAATAAACAATATTTTATTACGATATTTTGTCACGATAGTTTCAAACATAACGGAAAACAAAGCGATCACAAATGCCACACAAAACTTGGACTCAGCACTAATTGTGTTTATTGTTAATTTGCTTAGGAACCATTGGCTTTGTGTTGTGCACAAACCTTTGGGCTTCGATTCTATTAAATTTTGGACATATTTATCTGTCATTTCATTTCAAATGTCACAGAGAGTTGCAAACAAAGGGTCTGAATTGGGAGAAAAGTCGTTTTTCTCTAGCCACTGTTTCATGGAACTTCACATACCAGTAGGATTCACATCGGGGCTGTTTACTGGTAACCACTGGAATGTTGACTTGATTTGGTTTTTTAAGAATGCTCTAATGGCATTGGCCCTATGAGAAAATGCCTTGTTTAGCATGGGGATGACTACTTGAATGACATCATGACGGAAACAAGGGCAAGACATGACGTTCCAGCATTTGCGCGATGTGGTCCACTAAACCAAGGCATCCGGTGATTCTCACGAGGGTGGCTCTGTTCAATCCACCCCAGACCACCCAAAATCGT